TTTATCTTCTATCTATTATCTCTTTTTTTTTTTTTTGGGGTGTGGTGGGAGGGTGCTAAACACGAATATTGAGTAGCAAAAAACTAAGACAAAGTTTTCCAAAGACTATGCAATAGCTTAAATCTTTCTCTCAAATTGATTTTACATCACTATACTAATACATACAAAATCTTAATTTTTACACAATATTCATATGCTTATTTTCAAATTACGCCTAAGATTTCAAGATTCTCATAGCTTCTGCATGGTCTTGTGACTTACAATAATATATTGTCTTGTATTGTCTTGCGACTTTATTCACAAGTGAAACATTATTATTGTTCGTCATAAAATCTATTCCTTCTAGGTGAATGCACAGTTTTTATAACAAATAATCTATTAACAAATTCTTAGTAATACAATATGAGATTTATTATAAGGATCAAATTTTTAGCATGTGGTTTACTACAGTAATATTATACCTCTTTTTACTTATTTTTTTTTTTACAAACTATCATGATTTTAAATATTCTATCATATAATTCTCTTTTTTTCTTTTTATTACTGTTACTAAATCACTGCATCAAATAAAATTTAAAACTAATTTCCTCTACTTAAAAATAACCAATCTTTTCCTCTCTTTTATTCTTTTTATTTTTACTTTTAAAATCCTATTTTCTTTGATACTTCTATTTTTGCTGTGAAGACTGTTCTTAAATAAAGCATCACTACTTTTGAATTTCAGCTCCCAATTGCTCAAATTTGAGTCAAACTTATTTTTGCTGCTATCGCAGCTATCACCCTCTGATTCTTAATGAATAAGCTATAAATTTATCTACTAATTTAGTATAGTTTGCTATTTATTTTACTACTGCTCCATTCAAAGAAACTGGCATCTTCTTCTTATTTCTTAAGAGAAATAGTGGTGCCCTTTCTTCTATTTTAAAATGAACTTCTAAATACCTTAATAATAAGTAAACTAGGCAGCATTTTGAATCTATACTTTCTACAGATATGAATCTCCTATTCTTAAATTGATCTGTCTTTGATTTGCAAATCCTAATCTATAAAACCTTATCTTCATCCTATCTTATATCTTGTACTTCTAACTCACACAATTCTCCTAGTCTTCTCATTGTTCTTTACCCTAAGGCTACTAATGCTATGTCTCTTCTATACATCAGTTTACTTATATTCGTGAGTAGATTCTCAATATATTTTCTTAAAGCTAAAATTGAAAGTAGATCTCTAAGCCACTTTGGCCCCTTTTCTTTCATCAATTCCTTTTTTATTGCTCTTAATACCTGAGTTATCATAAATAAATTCTTGATATCTTTCTTTCTACTTAAATAAAATTTGTGATTTATAGCTTGGAGTACCTGTACCACCTGATGTGACAATTCTACCATATCTAGCTATATTATAAATACTAAAATATTATCTTTCAACAGATTTTCTGGAGTTAATTTAACTTTAGTGCAAAATTTTATACAATAACTCCAATATTTCATTGCTTTATCTCTGTAAAATACTGATACTAAGTTTCTCAGCATTTTTCTATCTTTTCGTAATAATTCTTTTACCACTATAAATAGATTGTTACGAATCTCTATTGAGAGTTTCTTCATAGTTCTATGAAACCTAAAGGTCTCAGTGCAAATATTTTTTGTAAATTTGGCAACTCTACTACCCTCCAATCTAAACTTAGCAGAAGTGGCTACCACTTTGCTGACGCCCAAAGTGGAGCTACTAATATTGTTTTTGCATAGCAACTTTTTATATAAAACAATACTCTTTGTACTAGATAAAGTGAGGCATACATAGTTTATCTCATTTGATCAGTTCTGAGTAAAACAGTCTATCACTTCTGCTCGTAAGCAGAAATGATAGCTGTTGAATCTCTTAAGTTTTGTGTGAAGCCATTCTGTCTATTGTATGCCACCCAAATACTGCTTTTATTTGACAAAAAACTTCTTCTTTTATATACCAATCTGAGATATCAAAGACTCTCATCCAATTGTCTGCTGAATTTTTTTTTGATAGTACTCATCTTAATTCG